GGACAAAGGCCTCCCCCAAAGCTTTCCACAATGAACGGTCCTGCGCTGGACGCATCCAGGCTCTTCCCGCATCCTTTACCAGATCGTCGGTCCACCTAGTATGCCACGTAGTCACCTGCGTGATCGAATCAAAAATGAGGAGATCCACAGGAGAACCAAAGTGAACGACATAGCTCGCAGAATTGCTAAAATGCCGTTGAGGATGGCCGTAGGGGCAGAAAGTTCTCGAGTGGCGATCACGGGCTGGAAGACGTAGCGTGGGCGGGCCTCCTACTTTGCATTATTAATTCTTTAATAAATCAAACTTTACATTTAAATAAAGATATGAAAAGCAAAACCCTAACTCCGATCTATTACGCATATATCCGTACTTAAAAACTAAAAAAGCTTACTGAAAAAAAAGAGCCCAGATTTATCAACGGCCTACTTTTAATCTCTTAGGTTATTATCATTGATTCTCGGGAAAGGTTTCAAACTACTACGGGAATACCAGTTTTACCGGCAAAATAGTTGCCTACCTGCGAGAGAAACATTCATTGTAAGCTCTGTGGATATTTGCGAGTGGAATAGACACGGCAATCCACTCCAGGGATTCCCCGGGGGAGCACATTGTGTCTCTTGCACATAATGATCACGACCCGCAATAAGAGTTAATGATGGATGGCGTCCCTCTATTTGAACCAGCTACTTGCCCTTGCATGTTAGGTAGATACAGGGCATTTTAAGTGATTACATGAAAGAATATTCATAATATGTTTTTCACCCGACTGCGCAAGAAGGAGGTTTATGTTTTTCGAGTGTATGTATGTATATTTCTGTGGTACGACCTACAGCCTAAACGGCTTGACCGATTTTAGCGTGAGAGGTGTCGTTAAATTCGTCTTAATCGTGAGAGTGACATTGGCTAATTAAAATTTAAAAAATCAAAATGGCGATTTAGGCATCATAATGTCTTCCAAAAAAATTTTTTTTTCTCAAAACCTATCGAGTGGGGTATCAAAATAAAGGGATTTTTAAGTAGCTTACAAAAATGTATGTTGTTTAACAAAAAAGATTAAAATAAAATTATGGTTGAATAAACAAAAAACCCAACTGCGTAAAAATGAACTAAAAAGATAAAAACAAGCCTTAGTGTTCACAAATGCAGTCGGAGGCATCAAATACATATCACCAACAAAAGAATTCGTCATTGTTCATCAATGATTACTATTCTTGCAAGTAATTTATACACGAGCAACCCCTACAAACAAGCAATACGTCCATTTTCTATTAATATTGTCAGAAAGTTTATAATAAGCCTAGCATTTAATCATATTCGGAACGGACCACAAACCACATAACATGTCACGCTTGTACGGGTTTGAAACAAGTTGACAAACAACTTCCAAATCACGATACGAATTGATATTCCGTAATTTACTCACTGTGTCTATTTGTGGTAATGACAAACAAGCACATTAAATATTAATGTATGTTGATTTAATTATAAAGATAATTAAAATATCATAAGCACAATCAATGGGCAAATGTTATGGTAAGCTCAAACTATACTTACGAGCAAAAGTATGGAATCACTCCATTGTGTTTGGTTCCGATTCCGAGTGATCTTAAGAACTGAATAACTATGCATGTATCTATGGTATCAATTTAAAGTATATAATATTACCTTTAAAATGGTACCATTTTTATGTATTTTCTATTAGCCATTTAGTTCTTACGATCGCTCGAAACGCATAGGGTGATTCTATACTTTTGCTCGCGAGTGTATATGGAACGTTCGTAGCAAAACCGTAGTTCTGTAGCTACGAGCATTCCGCTTCGCTGGCTACTCGGCGTAGTTATTGTTCGTGGCAATTGCTTCGTAGCGATGCGATTTTGCCACATCCACAGACTACAATTTTATGTACAGCATATTCGTAGACGGCGATTTGTTACACTGTCTACGCCGTAGCGTTCTCTCAGTGAAACGTAGATGGTACTTTTAAGTTAGTTCCATCAATTTGTAACATTAAATTTAACTACGTTCGGTTCGATTACATTTCGCATAGGGATTACGAATAGAAAATTATTTATTCGCGAAATATACGAAATCTTTTGGCGAGGATAAACGTGAACATTTTATCCTGATATTACGCGCGACAATTGATTCAAATTATGTACAGTTCAAATATAGTATTATTCTAAGGTATCCGTCTGCTCTTTTGCCTCCTGTCACATAAAAAAAACATAGGTGATAATGACAACAGTGTAATAATTTACCTTTGTAGTCATGTAATAGAATAATGGAGCTTAAAGTTACTCTATTGGCATAACAAAGTTATTTCGTGACGCCTAACTTAGTTTGGTGGAGCACCGTCATGTAGTAAAATTTTGACAATATTTTGCCTAATTTTCTTATTAACTTGGTTAATATACAATTTTTAGGACACAGGTAAGCAAAAACCTAGAGATTAATCGGTAATTATGCACTACCAGCCAGTGAATTTTCTTTGTTCACTGAAGTTTGTTATTGTTTATTTAGCCCATTTTTAAGGGGTTCCGTACCTCAAAAGGAAAAAACGGAACCCTTATAGGATCACTTTGTTGTCCGTCAGTCTGTCAAGACCCTATTTCTCAGGAACTCGTGAAGGTATCAAGCTAAAATTTATACCAAATACTCAAGTCTATAATACCTTTAAGCTGTAACAAAATCAAAGTTATATACCTACAGGTTTCTACGGAACCCTTGGTGCGCGAGTCCGACTCGCACTCGCTCGGTTTTTCTTAGTACCAAATACCAATGTTATTTTCACTTATCCAACCGAACAATAACAACAACTAATATCATGTTTTTGCTTATGATTTCATTATGTTTCACCTCTAATATTTTGCTGATAAATATTTCATTATTTTGCTACACATTGCGTGATATTCCTAAATGTTTTTTTTTTTCTAATAAATACGATGGGAAAAACCTATCTCCAATAGACAAAAACGCATGAAAAAATATTTTGCATTCGCTTGTATTGTTACGCCCGTATTCACAAACGATGCTTGCTTAAGTGAAGCACCAAATCGAACGCACAGCGTTGAAAGAGCTCTGTGATTGGTTCGTGTGTCACCCTGTCCACGCACACTGTGAGACCTCATAGTAATGTTTGCGAATACGGACGTTAATCTCGTTAATGGGATCGTTCGTAATAATATACGCATATCAAAGTCCTTATCAGAGCATGCTGAAGTCTTATCAATGCCATAACAAATGACGATATTGATAAGAGAGCGCTGCGGTTACATCGGCTCGTTGATAACTAGAGCCGCAGTGCACGCTCGGAGCTTAAAGCTGAGCTTAAAGCTTTCACGCGTTCGTCATAATCATTTAATTTTGTACTCGTAGAAACGTCTTATTATTTAGGCCTGATTCGATTTAAACTTTTCAAAGATTAATTTTGTCGGTTAAAAGGTAAATGCAACAAAGACATTCACAACTGATATCAATTACCTAAAATCTTTTATATTCCTCAAGAATTTGTTTATGTTAATGAAAAGTGTAATAGGGCGACGTATATTGGAAACATTAGAAGTCAATCTTCAAATGTAATCGTATGCGAAATTGATTTAAATTGCGCCATTCATTTAAACTGCTCGCAATTAACACTATCGAATCATTTAAATCCAAATGTTTTAACTAAAATTCCGCCAGAATACCACGCAAGAGGTCCTAGGTTGAATTCCCGGCCGGTCAGAAATTGAAACAGTGAATTTTCATTTCTGTTGACAGGTCTGGATCTGGGTGTTACTACGTATGTATATTTAGCATGTATTTAAAAAGTATATAAGTAATATATCCGTTAAGCTAGCACCCATAACACAAGCATATTAGTTACTTTGAGGCTAGATGGCACTGTGTGTTATTTAATTAGTTACACTATGATTGCGAGAAACAGAAATGTGAATTAAAGTTTCCCTTTGTTTCTTTTTGTCTATTACTTTTTCATTTTTTTTATCGAATACTTTTTTCATTTAATAATGTCATTCTGCAATTCAAAAACTTCATCTAATTTTATATTTTTGTAATTTCGTATGCGAGTTGGAATCTTTAATTTATCAATCTTTAATTTTTCGTACCAGCTGTCAGCTTCCCATGGGTCTCCTGAAATTCTTTCAGCCTGTCTTATGCTATCACTTACCTTAGCCCACGAAGCGAAAGTGTGGCTACCTAAATAAACTCCGACAAACATTACTTCGACATTACGTTACTCCGAAGGCGTAATATCCTTTGTCTGAGTAGTGTAGTGTCGAAGTAGTCATGTCGATATTCAGTAATGTCGAAGTTACGTTTGTCGGAATTTATTTAAGTAGCCCGAAAGTGTAGTTGATCTCCATCCCACCGGCTCTCAATATTCCGCTGGTCTACTCGATATCTAAAAACCTATTTAACTAAGAGCGGCGGGACACCAATTACCTGCACGAGTACTTAAAGAATCGGCTATGTTGTAAAAACCGTGGTTACTAAAAATGATGCACTTGAGTCCAGTTGCTCTCAATTCAAAATGTGAAATGGAACGCGAATATAAACGCAGTACGATAGTATATCCTATCCTAAATAAAGTAATTATTATGTTACCACTTTTTAGTGCACTTTTTTGGAATCAATTTTTGTGGTTTATTAATTTTCTAGTAGACCTTGTTGTTACCACTGAAGGTTAGCAGTTTATTATGATTATTGAGAAACCGTTCCTTTTTTGAAATCCGTAAAAAATCGAAATCTATAAGGTAAAATATCGTAATCTATCTACATATACCAGCGTCGTGGCCTTCCCCACCGTGGGCCACGGCATATGCTGAGTGGAGTCCCATTGCGATGGGCATCGCTGTTACGACAGGGTAGCACTGCTCAGTTCACTTTTTATTTCCGTGCAATATTATGTGCTATTTCTGTATACCTTCTTTGTCCTTAACTTAGTGATTTTCATCGTAACAAATGTTTCTTTCTATACCAGTCTTAAACTATCACTTACCGAAGCAAGCGAAGCGAGCGTGTTGTCAACCATTTCGTTGCCGCTGTGCATCGGTGACATCGGCGTCGAGGCGGGCTTAGTGGTGTTCCCAAAACCGGTGTAACGCCCGCTTCCATACTCACTGCTGAGGAAAGGGATTCGTTAGACATTTGACAATCAGCATTTGGAATCGCCAGTACAAAATCAAGCCTCGTATTCACTAGGTTTTTTATTCAAATTCTTTATTAGTATGTTGGATCTAGTCAGGGCACATACACGTCCCTAACGGCTATAAAATGCTACTCCGACAAACGTTACTTCGACATTACGTTATTCCGACACTACACTACCTAGACAAAGGCAAATATCCTTTGTCTGAGTATTGTAGTGTCGAAGTAAAGGCAAACATCCTTTGTCTGAGTAGTGTAGTGTCGAAGTAAAGGTAAATATCCTTTGTCTGAGTAGTGTTGTGTCGAAGTAACGTCATGTCGATATTCAGTAGTGTAGGAGTAACGTAATGTCGAAGTAACGTTTGTCGGAGTAGCATTTTACAGCCGTCCCTAACATAGCTTTTCTTACCACCACTTCGGTACTATCGGGTGATGTTGAGAAGTTGTTGAATAAACAGTCACCTTAGCCTTTTATTGAATACGGGAAATATTTGACGGCTTAATTCTTTGAAGTACTTACAGCTCATTTTCAATAGGTATGAGAAAGAGTTTTACTTTTTTAACATTAAAAAACAAATCGTTTGTGTGTGAACAAGGCGCTAAGGGACAACAACGTTTGAGAAATATGAAAAAACTAAAATTAACTCCTTAAATCTTCATTTAACTGGCAAATCGTTATTACCATATTTTTGATTCTCTGCCCATAAAAGACGGTTCAAAACTAATGGAAATATTATCTGTGTGGTAAACTTATCGACATATCGGGCAAATATGTATTGCTATTATGTTCTCAACACATAATAATAACGCGAAAACATGTCAAGTGAATATGAGGCTTAATTTACATGTTTTCTGACAGCATCAGTTGTTATAAAACTGTTTTGTTTACATTTTAAGGCGCGTAATTTAAGAAATCTATGGCCAATTAGCAGCGTTTCCATTCAACTTTTTCAATTATTAAGGTTGTCCTGTTTATGGGATACATACATAGGTAATACCTTTAATTTACCATAATTCCGGTCGTAGGTACACACTAAAATATGTGTTTACCAACAAATTCATTTAAAAAACACCAATCGCTGCTGGAATAATAAATTTTGAAAACATTAAAACGAGCCAAGTACTTACGTACAGAGGTTGAAGACGATCGCTTGGCAGTTCAACAAAAACTAGAATATTTATCGGTAACATCGTATCTACACGAATGAACTATAAAGGCAGCTGTCAGTAACTGTGAAGCTATATGTCTGGTGAAGCCAGTCATCAATAAATAAATTGCAAACTCGACTGTCTGACGATTTCTTAAACCCGCCTCCAGTCGAGTTGTCTTTATTTTTAAAATGATTAAAGTAGCAAAAACTATTCTGAGTAGGAGAGTAGGTACATATAAAATTAAATGTTAATTTAAATCTTGCAAAAGCAGAATAAATATTTTTATTGATACAAGAATAAATCATAAACAGCTACTCTATTTGAGAGCTTTTATGAATAAAAATATTTACTTTGTAATGTCTACTCGTATGTTATTCAAATAAACGAGTCCAATTTTAATGTAATTAAAACAGGCACGTTAAATAGTGTGGGAGTAATATTACTTACATAAATCCATGTGGGCGTAAAACATAAAATATCCAATACTTCAATATAAATTAATATTATGATAACAAAAACATAACCGCTCAGCACGCCTACGTCTCTTCGCGATTCATTCGTAATCCTCTGCATGGAAATTATTACGCTATGCAAACCAGAAGGGAATAATAACAAAACAATACAAAAAGTACGTAACGGATCAACAATATGGTTCACCGCATTTCGAACTAAGCTCTATTCATTGAAATATCTCGACAAATCACGAAGTTTATTCCGAACTGAGGAAAAAGAAAAATAAATTGTGAATCTATAGTCATCAAAAATAATATGCCAGTTATTCTGAGCAATTCGAATTTAGTTAGCTTAGCACGGAGCTTAAAAATAGTATGCTCCTGCAGATATTTCTTTAATGAAATCAATATCATATGCTATGAAAAAACTGAATAGATATTTATTTTAAGAACACATCGTACAAAATCCATGATAGGATCATGTGACAGGTATTCACAATATTCTCGAAAAGCAAACACAATAAGGTGAGACTTTCGCGCTGAAGGATGTCTGAAGTGCCTTAAAGGTTCGATAATTACCCTCAGCTTTAGGCTAACTTCAGAATTTTCTACAATGAATCATTTTGGCTTTCAAGCATTGTTTTGGGATTACCTGTGGATACTAAGATTAAAATACGCAATTTTAGGAAATGTTTTCTGTTCAGATTTGGCAATCAATGTTGTTTTAATTAAAAAAAATAAAAAAGTGTTAATTATTTTGATGACTGGACATTGCGATACTGTATAGCTGAGCTTTGGAAATAGTATTTTCATTTAATTGTAATGTAACTGTAACTGTAAACTATACTCATTGTTTGCATCTGGTTTGTAAGTTCAATGACAAAAATTTATAGGAACCTTCCAAGCACAGGTGGAGCTTTCACACTCGACTTTGGTAAGTTCTTTTGACACGCGTAGTGGTTTCCGAGTTCCGTTTACGCGAGTCAAATCAAGTTCTGAAATTCTTTGACGCGAAGCGAAACTTGCTCGAACTATCAAACTTACAGGACCATGAATATCATGTTTTGTAACGGATTTGTCGGAGCATATCCAAAACTTTTCTGAATATGCTCTGAAAAACAGGCAACATGAAAAATTGTATGCCAATCGATAATTCTTACTCGGATCAGGAAACCTGCCCAATAATCTTGAAATAGCTTAATTCAATAAATTTTGCGATTTGTAGCGACACATGTTGCGCGTCAACTGTTTCCTAACTTACATTATACCCGTCAAACTGTATTTTTTATACGCTCGAGTGTCCTTAAGTAAAACTTTAACTGATCGGTTCTTACAAAATCATATTGCAGACAGCAGCACTGAAGGTGTACACGTCTTTGTACAACACAGTTTCCTTCTGTGCGTACACGAAGGAGCACTTAGCGTAGTCGACTGTACATTCGTTTGCAACTGTACACCGTTACAGCGTCTTTAGATCATAGGCAATTACCGACAGACGCAGGCGCACTTGTTGATTCACGCGCTGACGCGGAAAATGGAGCTTTTGAGCTTCGCAGTAGCGTCATAAATTCTTACTGCATTTTAATATGAAAGATCTAAACATAGCACCCAGTTATAACGGCGAACAAATATTGAAGCAGCTAGCGGTTGAAATGCAAACACTCGGTTGTCTAAAGTTTAAAGTAGAGAACTATGCACTTACTTCTGACATCATAAATTCTATTTCTAGGCGGTGCAAAGGTTCTTTGTTTGAATAATAATCCGTGTGGGCGTCCCGTGCTAAGGGCATGTCAACTTTATCAGTCAGATGTAGTTGTCTGTCACATTACCTATGGCTCATAGTCTGACACCAGGTCCACCAGCCAGAAATTCATAAACATTTTTAACAAAACTAAAACCGGACGACTTTATTTATATTATCTACAAAACAGGAATACAGTTCCAATTTAAATGTGTACAAACATTTAAAACTGTGTATACTCCAATTAAAATTTCATCAGGATTGAAATGAAAGCGAATATTTATTCAAAAAATTCCAGGTACATTTTGTTTGTGGCCACCATCAAAGGCCCTTCGATGGTGGCCAATCGCTAGCAAAGGGGCGAACTATTTTTGCGATGAATATATCCCAATAATGGGGCACACTGAAAACCAGCGCCGTGGCCTTCGTCACCGTGGGCCACGGCATATGCTGAGTGGGGTCCCGTTGCAGTGGGCATCTTGTTGATGGATGGGTGGCACTGCTCAGTTTGCTCTTGTTTTTATTTTTTCTTCTTTTATTATTATGTGCCACTGTCATGTCTATGTAATTGCCTGAATTTGTGTGATGTCCGTTGTAATAAATGTATCTTTCTTTCTTTCTTTCTTTCAATAAGAGGGCACTATTTTCTCGCGAAAATCCAGACGAATGCAAGCGATCCAATTAAAAGTGAGCTGTGGACGTTACCTAACCGTCGAGCTTTATTTGGACTTTTATAGGGCGTGTTCCATAAAAGCCTGTCCAATCAACGATATGCCGAATCGGGAATATCCATTTTCAACCGACTTCAAAAAAGGAGGAGGTTCTCAATTCGACCCGTATGTTTTTTTTTTCTATGTTTGTTACGCGATAACTCCGCCAATTATGAACCGATTTGAACAAATCTTTTTTCGGCGTATAGGTAATACCTCAAGGGGTTTTCACCCTTGGGGGTTGTTTTTTCCATTATTAAATTTAAATGGGACCACCATTTATATTTAATAATAGAAAAAACAACCCCCAAGGGTGGAAAATTGGGGATGAACTTTTTTATACGCAATATCTCCGCCGATTATAAATCAATTTGAACGATTATTTTTTTGTTGAATAGGTATTATCAAAAGGGTGGTTTCATGCGAATTTGAAGAAAATATTTCACCCCCAAGGGTGGAAAATTGGGGATGAACTTTTTTATACGCAATATTTTCAATTTTTAGTTTTTTTTTGTGTTCACGCATTTGAAGTCGGTTTTATTTTTTTTTAAAGTTATAGTAAGCAAATCTCGGTCTAAACGACGAACTTTCATGGATGGACGTTCACTAATGTGTATATTTTCAACGATCATTTCTGTTACTTCGCCGATACGAAATGTTTAATGAAATGGCGGAACGGAAACGTCCATGTTGTAACCAAAAGTCGTTCTCTTCGGTAAATATTAATGAGTGTCCATATTTATTAGTCTGTATTTTTCACCTTTAGTGCCCATTTCGATATTTTTGGGTTAGTTCGCTGAAATGTTTAATGCAGCCGGGGCTCGGAGGTGTTCGTTTTTGTAACACAAAGTAGCTCTCATTGGTGAATATTAATGGACGTGTCCATATTCATTAACGTGTGGTATTTTTCGGCCAATTTC